AGTGGGGATCTGTGTACGGACAAGTGTGCATGGACACACACTTCTCTCTCATATGCACAAGCTCACACAAGCATTCATGCATCTATATTAAAAACGAAATCTAAGGACACATTTATCAGTGTCCACAACCATGACATTCCTAATCCTGTGTGGTATGCTCCATGGTCATGAATGTAATTCCTTGATTCGTGCTAGGATTTCACACGTTGCAGTTATTTTGTACCTCTTGTGCATTCAGTGAAGTCAGTACTTATCGGTAGAAACACTCCGCCCTGCCCAAAACAACTAACACTTTCTGTAAACACAACCTGGTAAAACATTGTAATGAATGTGTGAAAGTGATGTCCTCGTGCCGCTCTTTTTCCATCATGAGCCAAATGAACCCTGGCATTGTCCTCCCTTTACTAAACAACCATCTGTCATGGACCGAAAGGCTGCTCTCACATTCAGCTGTTAATCACTGCAGTCATTTCCCAATGAAAAGTCATTTGCTTTGTTTGGTAACACTGAGGTAATAACTCATTAAAGGGGCATTATGGAAGTTTGACAGCCAAAACATGTGTAGAAATAATAAATTTCTTCTTCATACATTCTCCTGCAATGCCCTGGTCCTGTAGAATGAGCCCTGGCACTTTTACTGTGATTGTCTGTTTTTCTGTAAAATCACAGAAAAAGAGAGCGGCTCGAGTCGAGCAGGCTGCTTCATGCGCGTTCACGCTCAGGCATAGCACGTAGCATTTGCTATCAGTAGCTTTAGCAGCAGAGATAGAGGCAGTGCCACTTTGTCGCTGTTCCTAACGCCTAGTGATGAACCTAGCTACATTTCTGAGGACCCTTAGCTACTTTCTGTAGAACTTCTAGATATTTGCTGCAAATTAGCAACAAAATAGCCATTTTTGCTCCAAACCGTTTTTGAACGTTGTTTCAGTTATTATCAAGGATATAAATGTTACAGATACAAAATACGTCACTGGTGCTTTAGCTCACCTAGTAAGACATTGGACTTTCATGCAGAAGACCCAGGTTTGATTCTGGGTGTGAACATAGTTTATTTAGAGTTTCTTTTTTACATTAATGATTTTTTTTTTACAGTAAGATGCCCAAATTTTTACTTGAGACTCGCCGAACGGCATTGCATTCACAGATAAAAAAGATGTGGGTTCAACTTTCATTTTGGAACAATTTTTCAAGCAAGGGAAGGGAATGATCTGAGCATGCAGGAGGACTGACCCATCTTAAACCTTTGTCGACTGTGCTGAAGAGAAAGGTACAGAACCAAATCATTTAATTAATTAGCTGCACGTTCTCCTGTCCTCTGTCCTCCGGGCCACACACACACACACACACACACACACACACACACACACACACACACACACACACACACACACACACACACACACACACACACACACACACACACACACACACACACGGGACTGTCTCAGCTGTTATTTTCGTTAAGGAGTGTGCACGTACAGCATGCGCGCCTCGTGCACGAGTCTACTATTGAAGCTGCCGTTACGCTTTTGGCCTGAGGGGGCAATCGCGAGCATAAAAATTCAAAACTCCGTAAAGTCCCTTTACATAATGCTTTGCTTTTGCATAGAAACAGTTTTTCAGTCTGTTTGTGCTTCTGATGACCTAAAACGTCTTCCAGACGGCAACAGTTCAAAGTGCAAGTGACCCGGAAAAGATCAGTGCCTCAAAATGTCGTTAGCCCTCCAATGGAGTACTTTATTGCAGATGCAAAGAATGTTCTGCCTCACTGTCATTAATATCATTAGATAAGTCTGATGTGAAAAAGCCCATCACACATGTGACCTCGGTTCCAGGATGGGTGACATTTTGGATAAAGGGTTCATTTTGACTAGAGTTAATGAACTAAATGCATCTGTAAAGCTGATGACAGGTGTTGAGCGCTGTAGCCATGGAGTCACAAGTGTCACACCTGTCTGGGTCTGGTGGTCATGGAGAGGAGGCTGTCTGGTTTGAGGAACATTAGGATATCATCTCTGATGAGGTGGTTCTGTTGGGATCTTTAAGCTATGACTTTAAAAGTCCACTGGTTTGTTTCACCAACACATTCTCACAGTAGGGGCGTTCCAAAAAGGGTACTTCACGATTCGATTAGATTTCAATTATGGGAGCTTCAATGCTTCGATTATAATGATTTTTGGTTCGATTCGATTACTGGTGCCACGATTCTTCAATTATTGACATTTTTAATGCTTTTTTTCATACAAGATTGTCTTCTTTATCTACATTTGTAAATAAATAACCTATCAATTAATTCAGTTCCTCTAAAACTACTCTCTGTTAGTAAATACATTTTTTTTTAACATTTAACTATTTTTCAAAGACAAATTCTTATTTTATGACTGTGTGACGTGTAAATATTTGCACTTTGACGAACTTAACTTCGATCAGGGAAAGCTTTACTTACACTAGTGTCCCCTCCATTGTTGGGAAACACTGAAAACAGGCAAGCCCTGGATTTAATGAGGTAATTAATTCAAGTAAACAAGATTTTTACTTCCATCAAATTTATTTAATGGAAATTTAATGAGTCTGGCATATGATAACATTACAAAAAAGCTGCCATACAGATCAAATAAAATAATTCAGCTTTTTCAGTCTGGAATATAGGTAACAGAAAAAACCTGCTATATTTGAAGGTAATATGTTGCTTTTTTCAAAAAAAAGTGCATAATTCAACTGACCATATATTCAGCCTGGAGCTTCAGTACAGTGAGGCAAACACAACAAAACAGAGCAGAGTGACACTCATACTCATCTGTCCTCCCTCTTGTCCCCCTACACCCTCCTGTTGGGTGAGACGGGCAAATGTCAACATTGTGCTACTTTGACTCACGCATCTCTCGAGTTTGAAGAACGTGACTCACCAATTTCCACCCGTTCTTGTCCGATGCGTGAACAAAATGCGCCGTTACAGTAACGAAGGATTTGGTGGCAACCAATGTCCACGCATCGCATGTGAGCACTATCCCGGTTGCCTTCTTCATGGACTCCAGAACGCTTGCTTTGGTTTCCTCGTAGAGGTGGGGGACTTCTTTTTCTGCAAAGTGTTTTCGGTGAGGAAGTTTATAGCCCCTGTTGTTTACTACTGAATACTGGCGTAGATCCGTTGCAGTAAAAGTAGCAATTGCTTTTGTAATGTTCCTCGCCTTCTCGGAGTTCTTCGGTAGTTTGGAGACAGTCTCCAGGATGGAGAAAGAGGTCAAAGAGGCCACTCACTAAACAGTCCGGGCGGCGCGCACGTTTAGGCTCCGGTTACGTGTTTTTAATTTTTTAGTAGTACCAGCTTCGCAACAAAACTTTGATGTTATGCTTTGTTAAGCATCGGCGTTCATTAATCGATGCCGAAACAACATGTTAAGCCTTTAGATGCATCACCACATCGATTAATTGCACCCACCCCTATCTCACACCTGAAGCAGCTAAAACTGATGATGGGTGACCAAGCATTTGTTCCAATGCGTTGGAAGCCCCAACGCATCGGGAGGCCACGCGCTATGCCAGAGCGTCACTTTCTGATGCCGGCGGTAAAATGGAGATTTCACCGAATTGTGACCTTTTATCCTCTTGCAATTTAACCTTCCCCTCACCCCAACCTTAACCCAAAGTTGAGCATGCAAAACTTTGTTTCTAGTTGTATCGTCCGTCTCAAATATAGTTAACGGGAAGTTTAGAATGAGAAACTGGGTTAAGGTTAGGATGGAGGTGAGGAGAAGGTTAAATAGCAAGAGGTTAGAGGTTAAATATTGGTGAAATGTGCGTTTTCCCATGGGCTTTGGAAACCGAAGCTCTGGCACAGAGCGTCGATGCTCGAAACAAATGCTTGGTCACCCTTCATCAGTTTTAGCTGCTTCGAGTGTGAGAATGTGTTGGTTTCACAGCTGAGTGTGTAGAAACATGAATGAGAGGCAAAGCACCTGATGTCTTGGGAGTGAGTCTTTGCCTCAAAGGGAATAAGTCCAATGCCTTGATGTCTTGTTCCCAAATGATGGTAGAACAAATTGACTGGAGCTTCTGCAGTAATGAGGCCATTGCTCCAGAGTGTCATGGTGAAGGAACTGAGCCAAAATGCAAAGCTCTGTTTACGTGTTCATCTACTTTCGACCTCTCACCAGCCATCATGGGACCTAGATTGTAGCTATAACAACAGCTGCTTCCTTTGTACCTTTAGGAGTTTTTCTACCAGCACTACTCAACACAGCTCTGTGTGGTTTCAGTCGGTTTCTATTAGTTACAGATCTGTGGTTGCTACCACTTTTCAGTATCAGCTTTAATGTGGTTCCAAGTGTCCCAAGCTCTGTCGCTCTAGGGAGCACAGAATAGAGGAGCTGGTCCTCTGCAAAGAAAGGAGTCAGCTGAGGTGGTTTGCGCATCTTATTAGGATGCCTCCTGGCTGCCTCCATCCAGAAGAAGACCTCAAGGCAGACCTGGGGCTCAGTGGAAAATGTACTCATCCTTTCTAGTCTGGGAGTTTCGTATGATCCCAAAAGAGAAGCTGGAGAATGTTGTTGGGGAGAGAGAGGTCTGGGCTTCCCTTCTGGATCTGTTACCTTCATGACCTGACCTTGGATAGGCAGCAGAAAATGGATGGATGGATATTGTAATGTTGAAATCAGCTGCGATAAAGATTGTTTTCTAATTTCTCTCTTTCTGTACAATCATTTCAATTTCAGTAGTTGTAAAACTGAATTTTAGCCCCATTTGTTTAGCCATGAGCTGTGGGGGCCATCTTGAATTGGTCTGATTCAGAAACATTTCCAGTTGTTTGTACATTTACTTTGCAGGTGTTTAATTAACATTTGTCCAGTGGTTTATCTGACAACCAATCAGAAACTGACACAACAAAGACATTATTGCTCACCTTTTAGTCCTTCAGCCAAAACTCAGGGACCTTTCTTCCATCAGCGAGACACAAAAGGCAAAAAATTACCAATTTTTTTTGTATTTCTGTCTTCTTTTAGGAATAGAGATGTAAAAATAGAACAGCTGCTTCAATATTTCAGGCTGCTAGTCCTGTGAGGTAAGATCTTTTATTGTATATTACTTTTCAGTCTCAGCTCAATATGTGTTTTTGCACTGAATAATAAATCACAAAAGTGTTCAAGAAAAAGTTGATTAGAGTTAAATGTATTTTCAGATAATTGTGTTATTTTGTTAAATTTTCTTTTGGAGGTTTATTTATCATATATTTCAAACCTCAGCAGACTGTCTGTAATTATTTTTTTAAATTGTGACAATAGGTACATTTCCCTTCTGCTGCAGCTCTGAAGTGATTAACTATCAGTGTGTTTTTGGCAGAATAAAAAGACAAAAATAGCAACTCTAAGAGGATTTTTACCCTACAGCCTGTTTTTCTTTTTGAGTCATCGTTGTCAGTGATGTTCCACACAGGCAACTTACAGTCCTCTCAGCGGAGGGAGCTTCTGGTGTGTGTGTGTGTGTGTGTGTGTGTGTGTGTGTGTGTGTGCCATAGAGCCAGATACAGAATGCTAATAAGACTAGAATCCTCTGCTGTTTGTGTACTACCTGTCAGATTGAAGACATCTCCTGTTTTTATGTGTGTTTATAAAACATCTATTTACTCGCCACCGCACTGTTGAGATTCAGGTCGGATAGGATTTTCACCAGGAGGATCATCCTGAGAGCAAAGGAATCGACTTGTTCAGCAGAGAGGTTGACTCCTTGATCAGCCAGGTCCCAGAGGAAGCTGTGTAGTTCAAGAGGCTGAAGGCCCATGCTCCGACTGTGTTTCTGCTCTGCCTGAAGCAATGTGGCTGCATGGTGAAATATAGATTAAGCTACTGTTGTGCACTTCATTCCTCTGGCTTAGTTCCATATCATTAGATACTAAATTAGAAACACATTTTATTCATTATGTGCATATTTTGTTGCATTGATTTAATGGAACATATAAAGGCTTTAAAGATGGGTTAAAATGTGATGGCTTTTAAATCCATTGTAGATTCTTTGTTCACCATCAGATGGTGAGGAGTATTGTCCTGTAGCTGAGCCTCGTTCAAATCAAGTTTCTACGGAAACACAACAACTGTGTGTGTCAGAAACACACACTGGCACATCTGTCGGCAGCAGTAGCTCGATGTAATCTGTCTCAGTTCTGAAAGGATTCTGGTCCATTCTACATTACATTGCTTCAGTTCGTTGATGTTTGCAGACATTTGATTCTGCTCACATATTTAAGGCCCCACCACAACAGTTCAGTCTCCATGATTCATGTCTTTTTCAGTCCAAACTTCAGCTGTCAGACAGATGGACCCACATTATAATCTAGAGTACTTGGATCTCCAGAGTTGTTGAGCCAAATTTATACTTGAGTGTGGAGTTGCACACACACATTGAAGGAGATGTTTTCTCTGTTGACTTCTCTGTCAGCTAGGGAGTGTTGCAAAGCAATTCCCTGCCAGGTAAACAGAGGGCGTAGCGCTTTTCTGGAGTATGCTGCCACTATTACAGTCCAACACGTTCTCGCACCCAAAGCATTGAAAAATGACGATGGTTGACCAAGCATTTGTTTTCAAAGGCGACGCCAGGGAGTTGGTTTCCGACGCCTGCAGTAAAACGCACATTTAACCGACATTTAACCTCTAACCTCTTGGTATTTAACCTTCCCCTAAACTTAACCCAGTTTCTCGTTAACCGTGCTGGAGAGGGATGTCAGAACTAGAAACACATTTTTGCATGTGCAAGAGGGTTAAAGCGGCTTTCCGGAGTTTGCCTCGTTCAGAAATGATGTATGATTTGTCAGAAATACGCAAAAGTGATTATCTTATCATCGTAGTTCTCGTCGTCTTCCTCCGCTTATCCGGGTCCGGGTCACAGGGGCAGCATCCCAACTAGGGAGCTCCAGACCGTCCTCTCCCCAGCCACCTCCACCAGCTCCTCCGGCAGGACCCCAAGGTGTTCCCTGACCAGATTGGAGATGTAACCTCTCCAACGTGTCCTGGGTCGACCCGGGGGTCTCCTGCCGGCAGGACATGCCCAAAACACCTCCCCAGGGAGGCGTCCAGGAGGCATCCTGACCAGATGCCCAAACCACCTCAACTAACTCCTTTCGATCCGGAGGAACAGCTGTTCTACTCCGAGTCCCCCCCGAATGTCCGAGCTCCTCACCCTATCTCTAAGGCTGAGCCCGGCCACCCTACGTGGGAAACTCATTTCGGCCACTTGTATCCGCGATCTCGTTCTTTTGGTCATTACCCAAAGCTCATGACCATAGGTGAGGATTGGGACGTAGATCGACCAGTAAATCGAGAACCTGGCTTTCTGGCTCAGCTCCCTCTTCACCACGACAGATCGGCTCAGCGTCCGCATCACTGCAGACACTGAACCAATCCGCCCGTCGATCTCCCGATCTCTCTTACCCTCACTCGTGAACAAGACCCCGAGATACTTAAACTCCTCCACTTGAGGTAGGACCTCTCCCCTGACCCGGTTTTGGCAAGCCACCCTTTTCCGGTCGAGAACCATGGTCTCAGATTTGGAGGTGCTGATCCTCATCCCAGCCACTTCACACTCGGTCGCGAACCTACCCAGCAAGAGCTGAAGGTCAGAGCTGGATGAAGCTAGGAGGACCACATCATCCGCAAAAAGCAGAGACGAAATTCTCCTACCACCAAACTCGACACACTCCACACCACGGCTGCACCTAGAAATTCTGTCCATAAAGGTAATGAACAGAACGGTGACAAAGGGCAGCCCTGGCGGAGTCCAACCCTCACTGGGAACAGGTCCGACTTACTACCGGCAATGCGGACCAAACTCACGCTCCTCTGGTAAAGGGACTGAATGGCCCTTGTAGAGAAATAGAGTGATGAAACTATCTAGAGTTGTATTTTAATATACTGTAAGTAGATCACTTGTTATAATCAGAAGATGGGCTGTTTTTATCATCAGGGAGTTTAATTAAACACTGTATTGACTTTGAGACAAGAAAAGAGAGAGAGTTGGGATCGTATAATTATAAATTCTTAACAATCTACCAGGACTAACTCTGTGTTGTTTGGAAATGAATGTGATGTTCGATGTGTGTGTGTGGTTGGTTCAGACTCCTTAGGCTGACGTCATTGAATCTGGTAGTCTGATTGTTATGACTAGATATCACGAGGCTTATAAAGTGATGACATGAGCTGCTATTTTGCCGTGTACGTACCCAGTGGGGGCCTCCCAGGTAGATCAGGAAATGCCAGGTCTGAAGACCTCGGATGTGCGCTGGAGCTGGTCGAAACAGCGATCGCAGCGTTTCAAAGCCCGTCTGAAGGGTCGACCCAGGTAACAATCGGCAGCGTCAGCAGGTGCTCTTATTTTGAAAGGATGTCGTCTGGTTGTTAAACGACGAAAATCTCCAACTTCACAGTTCTTAGTTTAAAGAAGAAAACACATCTGGCCAGGCTGTGCTTCTCTTTGGGATGACGGTGAATAGAACTGAAGTCAAAATGGAACTGAGCTTAAAATGGCGTTGCCTTGTTTTATATCTCTGAATTGTTGATAAGTTTTAGTAAAGCAGATTGGACACTTTAAGTCAACAAGCCAGATTCTCTTGCGGCAGTCGAAAGCTCTGATTGGTTGGAACAATGTGTCATGCGTTTCTATGGAGATGAGGGTCAGTCTGTCTGTGCAGTAGTCCTGTTTTCATTAAACACATAAATCATGACATCTTTATTCCACAGATCATTCACTTGATTATTATTGATCAACATCTGGTTCGAATAGCTTTAATCACAAATTAAGTACTTTGGTTATTGAAAAGCGTTCTTCTTCTCCTTCTGGCTCTTCTCCTGGAATGTAAACAGTCTGAGGAACACCCGACCTTGGCGTTTTCTACACGGGTGTTACTGTGTACAGGGGCAGCTGTGTGGAGCTGAAAATAATGAACTTCATAACGTTACACCCTTAACAGAAAGCCACCCACCCCATACTCCTGGAGCGTCCCCCACAGGGTGCCCCTGGGGACACAGTCATAAGCCTTCTCCAAATCCACAAAACACATGTGGATTGGTTGGGCAAATTCCCATGCCCCCTCCATCACCCTTGCAAGGGTATAGTGCTGGTCCACAGTTCCACGGCCAGGACAAAAACCACATTGCTCCTCCTCAATCTGAGATTCAACTGTCGATCAGACCCTCCTCTCAAGTACCTTGGAGTAGACCTTTCCAGGGAGGCTGAGGAGTGTGATCCCCTATAGTTGGAACACACCCTCAGGTCACCCTTCTTAAAAATTGGGATCACCACCCCGGTCTGCCACTCCACAGGAACTGCCCCCGATGACCACGCAATGTTGCAGAGACGTGTCAACCACGACAGCCCTACAACATCCATAGCCTTGAGATACCCAGGACGAATCTCATCCGCCCCAGTGCTCCACCACTGTGTAGTTGTTTGACTACTTCAGCAACTTCTGCCCCCGAGATTGGACAGTCCATCCCCAGGACTGAGAGAGCCCTTGCACCAATGCATAATGGCGTTGTGTGTCTCAGCACCACCACAGAAATATGAATTAGGTTTTAGGGGACGCCAGGGATTACAAGGAGCCCAAATCATCAGCCCTCTACCACCATGCTGATAGCAGGAATCAGCTGTTTCTACTAACTTTATGATGTGCATTATGGGTAAACATCTCTACTTTCTTCTCCTGTCCAATGGACATTATTCTAGAAGTTTTTTGGTTTCTTTAGATGCAACTTTGATAAACTAATTTAATCTGTCGTATTGGTTTTAAACAGAATTTTGACCTGGGACCTTTGAGAAGTCAAACTTCTTTTTCTGATTCCCCTGTTATGAACTGAAATCTCTAATCTGCTCACTTAGGCCTGTAGAGTCTGAAATGGAGCTCTTGGGTTTTTATTGACCTTTGACTTAGGGGTGAACCCTCTGGGACAGCTGAGATGATCTTAAACATTTCCCACTTTTGAATACTTTTCTTTCTATAGAATATTGAACTTTAAATTAGGGCTGAATCATTTTAGATAAAGATTAAATTCTGATATTTCTGGTAAAAATGGCTAT